TTGGTCTTCTACAAAAGTTCTGACCATTACAGTATCTTTGGCCATTTTCTTCCTAATTAAGGCCTGTTCTTTTTCATACTCTTTTTCATAGTCAGCATATCCAAATCCAGGTGCTGTTTCTCCAACTTTAGGTTCTTGTACAAAGGCAGTCATTTGTGTCTGATAAAACATTTCTTGCTGCGACTTCATCAGTGAGTCATAATCAGCTAGGAGTTAAGAACATAAGTTACTTTTTAATGTTCTTATGTAAAAGCCTTCATCCCATTGTTCACTCAGGCACGCTCCACACTAGGAAAAGTTGATAACCAAAAGACTGATTTTCCAAATTTTACTATCAAAGTACTCAATAAATATTAATTAGATTGAATTTTCAAAACCAAACAAGCCAAACCAGCTATTACTATTGTAGAAACAATTTCAAATTAGCAGTCAATCCTTTGGGATGTACACTGGAGGTCTTCCTAATTTCCTGTGTGGCTTTTGGCAATTAATTTACCTTCCTGGGTCTTGAGTGCTTTATCTGCTAAGTGGGGATAACATCCTAACCTTCTTTTAAGGGGTGTTGTGCAGATCAAATGAGACAGAGCATGGGATGGTCCACTGTAAACGTGAACAGCTAAGCAAAGATAATGGTGATTCACACATACATTTTGTTTGGCCTGAATGCTATTACATTTCTTTTTTTCAAATTACTTACAAATTTTGAAAATCATGATTTTCAGCTTTTCTATAAAATATCAGAAACTCTAGCAACATGGAGCCTGGTACAAGTGTGCCTGGCAATAACACACTAGAGCAGTGGTTCTCAACCTTCCCAATGCCGCGACCCTTTAATACAGTTCCTCATGTTGTGGTGACCCCCAACCATAAAATTATTTTTGTTGCTACTTCATAACTGTAATTTTGCTACTGTTATGAATCGTAATGTATATATCTAATATGCAGGATGTATTTTCATTGTTACAAATTGAACATAATTAAAGCATAGTGATTAATCACAAAACAATATGTAATTATATATGTGTTTTCCGATGGTCTTAGGCGACCCCTGTGAGTCATTCAACCCCTAAAGGAGTCGCGACCCACAGGTTGAGAACCACTGCACTAGAAACAGGACACTACTGCCTCCTTGAGACAGGACATATACTCTCCAGCTTGCCATTGTCTTCCTTGTGCTCACTGAAATCATCTATCTGCCTGGGTCTGGGAGTCAACTGTATTTAGAATCCCTTCATTGTCAAAGGCATGATATGTAACAAATGAATGCCACCAAATAGAAAATATTACTAGAAACTTAGAAGTTCAACACCAGTATGGTTTTTGAGGCCTGGAGAGTATTATGCTAAGTGGAATAAGCCAGTCAGAGAAAGATAAGTATCACATGATCTCACTCAGATGTGGAATCTAATGAACAACATAAACTGATGAACAAAATAGATCCAGAGACATAGAAGCATGGAATAGACTGCCAAATATCAGAGGGAAGGGCGGGGATGGGTGGGTGGGAAGAGATCAACCAAAGAACTTGTATGCATAGATGCATAACCCATGGACACAGATGATAGTGTGGTGAAGGCCTGGGGCAGGAGGCAGTGGTGGGCTAGAAGGGCTCAATAGGGGGAAACAGGGGACATATGTAATACTTTCAACAACAAAGATTAAGAAAGCTAAAAAATAAAAAATATTTCGTATTATGGCTGAGGCAAAGAAGGGGAGCGATTGAGACAGAACCAGTATCAGAACCAGGGTACTGCAACAGGCCTTTCCACAAACACACAGCCCTGCTACCTCCATGTGTTTGTGCTCTTATCATGCACATAGGTACTAGTTAGAGTTGCACTGACCTTCTCCAAGCAAGGAGGCAGATGCAGAAGTTTCTCCATGCTTATTGCGAATAACAATAGTGTATTCTCCAGCATCATCGGCAAAAGTCATTGAAATCACCAGTTTGCACTCACCAGTTTGTTTGCTGTAAATCACTTTGTGTCTTTATGGAAATAAACAAACAAAAATTTCAGTCATATAATAATCCTTATGTGACTAAAATAACCCTTGTGTGGATCTGTGCTATAAAATTCAATGATCCTAAGCATGTGACGAAGCCCTACCATAGAAAACAACTATCAGATAGCTGAAAATTGTGGAAAATCCATGGACATGAGTAATGAGGGACATGAACACTCTTTAAAATAAATAATATAATATAATACTACCAGAACCAGATATATGGAAATAAGTGGCTGCAAATATGTTTAACTGTAGCAAATTTATTAGCATTACTTTTCATGTATAACTATCTTTCTTCTTCATCACATGACCCTTATTCTCTTATCTTTTAGTGACTTAATTATGTGTTTTTGTTAAAAATTGTCTCAGATTCTTTCAGGAAAAGTGTGTGTGTGTGTGTGTGTGTGTGTGTATATAAAAATATACATTTTCTCTATTTCACTAGCACTATAAATGAATCAAACTAGAATATAAAGAAATATATCTTCTATCCACTTTGTCACATGGCTTTGTTTCTCAATAAGACTTTGTACAAACATGAAAATACACAATGAAGGCTCCATAGTGAAGAGCCTACCTTCAGGGAATGGTGCTGTAAGTATATTTTACTTCTCTCTAGGCTCCATATACATATCATGCAAATCAGAGAACTCTATACCATTCAGCCATTAACATACCTATATCCAGAGGTTAGAGGAACCCCAGATTTTTTCCAGTAGACATGGGGCTTTGGGTTGCCGCCAACCTGACATTCAAATACCACACTCCCTCCTTCTACCAGTTTCTGGACCACTGGTTTTGAAATGAAGAAAGGAGCAGCAGGTTCTCCAGGCTCTGCTCGGTCTTCCATGATGCTAGTGTCAGTCATTACCACATCTCTTGACTCCATAAAGCTGAGAATAGAATTTCCTCACATTAGCTTCTGGATTGTAATTTTCTAATACTAAAGGGACTGAAAAAAATCAAGACTGTATATTGACTCTTGAACAAAGTGGGGCTTAGGGGCACCAACACTACTGTGCAATTCATGTATATCTTTTTTTTTAAACATATATTCTATTGATTTCAGAGAGGAAAGGAGAGGGAGGGAGAGAGATAGAAACGTCAATGATGATAGAGAATCATTGATTGGCTGCCTCCTGCACATTCCCTACTTGGGATAAAGCCCACAGCCTGGGCATGTGCCCTTGACTGGAATGGAACTTGGGACCCTTCAGTCATAAGGCTGACGCTCTATCCACTGAGCAAACTGGCTAGGGCCATGTATATCTTTTGACTCAAAATTCAGCTTTTCCTATCCACAGGTTTCAAATTCACAGATTCAACTAGCCAGATTGAAAATAGCATTTTCAATTCACCATTGGGAATCTGTGGTTGGGAATGTGAAAGTACTGTTTTTGATCCCAAGTTGGTTGAATCTGCAGATGCGAAACCTAAAGGACACAAGGATTGACTGTATTTATTGAAAAACACCCATGTGTAAGTGAACCCATACATTCAAATCCCTGTTGTTCAAAGGTTGACTAGAATGAAAGCTCATTAAGAAAACAATGTTTTACCGTTTCTCTTCTGTGGTAAATTTCTCAGTCACAGTTGTGGTTTCTTTTTCAAACTCTTCTGACACTGGAAAGAGATAGAAGTTTCTCATTAAAGTCAGGCACTTAGTCCATTTTGTTGGTGACCCCTGCTTAGCATAAGAATTTAAGTTGACTCCATAACCTACTCCCCCAGTTCCAAAATGGGACACCACTGGGAAGTGTGCAGAGACCCTATTGTGCAAGGAAGTGTCAGCTGGGAGTGATGAGTGAGTGACAGCATGTGTGCAAGGACATGGGAGTATGGCCACTCACCCTGCACAGCGAGGTAACAGGATGTGCTGACGGTCCCAGCCTCATTCACAGCACTGCAAGTAAATCGCCCGCTGTCTTCTGCAAAAGCTTCCCGAATCATAAGACGAGCGATTCCACTCTGGAAGGTTATCTGGAAATCAATGGAACTTTCTATTTGGTAGTCTTCCCTGTACCATGTCACTTTCGGGGATGGGTATCCAGAGATGTGGCACTCCAAGGTGACGGATTCACCTTCTATAACAGTCACATTTTTTAAGCCCTGAAGAGAGAAAAAAAGAATATCATATTGATAAGTGTGCATTTTCATCAATCATCTCTATATGTTATGGCCTATGTGGGGGTTTGAAGTACATTCTAATTGCCATAAATGGTTTTTTAAGATCAGGACTCTTGAAATGTTAGCAGAGATTCCTTTGGAAATGGGAATATCCCCAAGTTGAAATAAATGCAAGGTGTTTCCAAATTGGTAAGGTGGAATTGTATTAATGCCACACAGCAGGGTAACTCCATACCCTCTGTGATTCTTAAATACTCAGATCTTAACAAAGCCCGAAGGCTCAGCAGCATGTGCTGCCTCTTCAACAAAGCTTTCCAAGCTCTTCCCAGTTCTAAGTAATTGATCCTTCCTCGTGATCACCCCTCTGTCGAGGTGCTTATCACTGCCTGCATTTTATCTTGCTTGTTTTGGACATTTTCCCTGATAGTCAGGCAAAGGTTTCAGAAGGCTGAATCCTTCAGAATCTCTCTTTATATATCTCCATACTTTTCTCTAATGCCTTACACGTAATAGAAATTCACTAAATCTGTTGACTACATGATCCATGGTTGCCACACAGAATCTCCCTTTCTCTCTCCAAATAGAGTATGGTCTTAAACTTAGCATTTGTAAACTCACTAATGCCATTTTCCAGTTTGAGAAACTGCTCTTTGCACATTTTAAAATGATGTGCCCAGATATGCACACGGTCCAACACCATCAGCTTCTTTACTCACCGAGACCAAAGTTGGTGGAGTGACGGGGATTTCAGCAGGTGCAGGAACTCTTGCTGTTTCTGTTACCTGTGATTTTTACAAAGGATATTTACAAAATGCCCATGAAACCAGGGAAATCTCACAAACACTTAGCCCATGCAAAATTATAAAAATAAGTTGAGAAAAAGAGCTCTGTCCCACTAAAGTTAAGTTTGAATATAGTAAAGGAGGAAGGCAAGACACCCGGCTGACTACTTCTGTAGTGCATACTGCTGAGTGTCTGGCCGTGATTCATAGGGATGTGTGAGAAAGAGCATGCAATCCGGGGACCAACCTTGGCCTCACGCCCATGAAGTACTTCGAAGCGCTCTTCGCGGACTGTGGTACCAGTGATGCTCACCCCTACTTCCTTTTTCACTTCAATGCCAGCTTGACTCTTGTAAGTCTCTGGTGTGTCAGCGAAGGGGAACTGGGGGGAGGGGGTGGGCTCTGCTCTCACTCTGGTCTCACCAGGCCTCACAGTGGGTGCCTTCACGGATTTGGTAATCTTCTGAGAAGAAGATGTGGCTGACAACTCTTTTTGTAAAGTAGCAATAGCGCTACCGGCTATTGATGCCTTAAGTGGAAATGGAAGTCAGAAAATAAAGTCACTTAACTGTCATCCAAGTCATCATTTAGAAGTGCGTTGCCACTAGGATTTCTGTTGTGAGTCTCAGTCTATTACTTTTTTTTTTTGGTCCATTTTTTTTAATGTTCCCATTATCACTTTAGAATGAATGAAAAGTCAGTTAGACATAAGCCAGTATAAGGCTCATTGTCATTCCTGCCACTTTGTGAAATATATTGAAAATATCTTTCTTAAAGAGTTGTACTAAGAACTCCCTATTTTACATTCTTATCATAAAGGAACTGAGGGTCTTCTAAAGCTCAGTCAAGAATTTTCACTCAATCATCCCAATGCTGCATTTGAAATACCACAGTGAGCTATTCAAAGTCAAGAAATTATTAAAATACTGGGGAAATTCCGAAGAACTACTTTACAATAGCACATTGATGTTTCAGCCACAGATCGATGTGAAAGGTGAAAATGGAGACAATCAGAGAAGTAATTGAAGGCTTCCTTAGTGTTTTTATTCTGGTGCTCTCTGGGATTATTCGATGTCAATAGTAATTTTGGGGACTATCCCAAATATAGGTATCAAATGTACCTTTCAATTCTTTGAAAGCATACAGGGCTTTTGGAGTCTATGGTCTTGGATGGGGGGGAGTAAGAAAAAAGAGATTACAA